TCTGAATATTAATTATTTTCAAAAGAAAAAAAGAAAACAAGTGGGTTCTTGTGTCATACAACAATTTCTGGGTTCTTGTGTAATACAACAATTTCTACATTTACGTTTTTTTTTGGTTTTATAGTATGAACAGTAAACGACGGCTACAAGGAGTGAAAGCAGAGACCCATCCCTTCCTGTCACATTTGCCAATAAACTATCATACTCGTGTAAGGGCCTTTGTATGATACATATCCGGATGGACACTGTCATATGGACACTGGCAATAAACATCGTTTTACCCGTAGGGCAAAAGGTGGATGCTTAACACTTTATGGGGAAGAGAAGATTGTTGCAGCTACTATGATGGGACATGGGACATATTATAGAGTTCTGAATATTAATTATTTTCAAAAGAAAGAAAAAAAGAAAACAAGTGGGTTCTTGTGTAATACAATAATTTCTGGGTTCTTGTGTAATACAACAATTTCTACATTTACGTTTTTTTTTGATTTTAGAGTATGAATAGTAAACGACGGCTACAAGGAGTGAAAGCAGACACCCATCCCTTCCTGTCACATTTGCCAATAAACTATGAGATCATCCTCGTGTAAGGGCCTTTGTATGATACATATCCGGATGTACACTGTCATATGGACACTCGAAATTAAAGATGAGTATGAAATGCACAGTCTGATGTATGTTGTGTTCATGTTAGTGTATCATGCTAGTGTAACTAGAAAACAATCCTCAAATGCTCATTAATTTAAAACTCACATAAAACAGTAGATCATACTAAACAATCCTCAAATGCTCATAGAGAGTATTCCAATACAAAAGACAAATAACTTTTACAAATAGACGAATCCAAATTTCCAAATTCGATGATTGTTACTGCTAAGACCACATATAGGAAGACACCGTTCTCGAGGATTGCACACCGTATCACTCTAGATGTTCTTCAAGTGTGTTTCTGCAATACCAAACAATCTGGATTAATTATCCTATATTCCGTAATAATTAGTCAAATGAAAGCAATCAGGAAGCAGCTTACTATTTTTGGCCTACCGGATGCCCTTCTTATGTTTGGTGGATACATTTTTTTTTTGTAAACACTCTCATTACCGATGTCCATGGTATCTGTATCCACCTCTGGACTTATCGCTGCCCATGTTGAGGTCTTGTAAAAGTCATCCATTAGTGTTTCAACCGGTATCCCTTTTGCATTTGCAGCCAACATTGCATGGCCACACGGGATTTTGACCTTGTCATACTCTGCGCAAGTGCACCTCTTCTGATTTAAGAATACATTATGTGTACCGTCCAACATTCCCACAACTTCATAAATCCCATTGGTGATGAAATGAACTTCGCTGCCCTTAACTGCCATCATCCCTTTTCTCATTGAGTTTAACACCTGCGGTGTTATCGCGCCCTTGTGTTCCCTTGATTTGTTCTGCCGCACAATTGAACTTCAATAACTCTACTAAAGGAGCCCCTCTACACTTCCACAATATCATGTTCAAGCTATATGCTATCGTGCTTGTCATGAGGTTGTACCGCTCACCTTGGAAATAAGAGCGTGACCATTGAGCTAATCCGATCTCATCTAAGTATCTGGCGCATTCCATATTCTCCTCTTTGATTTTATTGTACTGCCCCTCGAACGAATCTATCGTGTAGGCAAGCCCAGCATTCGTCACCATTTTCGCTAACTCTTTGTTTTGAAATTTGTCACCAACATCTTTAGCCAACGCAACAAGACAAGCACCATGCTTCGCCAGTGGGAACACACTCGTCTTGGCGTTGCAAAGAGAATTGTTAAGGTCTGTAACGATTGTTAGTGTGTTCCTGTCTGGAACGATCCTTTTCAACTGTCCAAAAAACCATGACCAAGATTCGTCATCCTCTCTATCCACTACTGCGAAAGCAAGCGGAAATACTTGTAAGTTTGCATCTTCGCCACTAGCTGTCAACAACACTCCTTTATATTTTCCAGTTAGTGGCGTTCCATCAACAACTAACACCAGCCTCAAATGGCTAAATCCCTGTATTGAACCACCCAATGCCAGAAACATATACAAGAACCTCTCAGTACCATCATCTCTAACTTCTATTTTAATATCTGTCACTGTCCCTGGATTTGCAAGCTTAAGTGCATGTAGATATTAAGCGACACCGTCGTACGATTCTTCACCACTATCTCCTACACTGCTTTCCGGGTTCTGTAATTCACCAGATACTTAGTAAATGTTACAGAAACAGGAATAAAATCTCATATATACACAAACAATACATTTATCACATACCCTCATTACTTGGCTAAAATCTGAAACCATCACATCTTTCCATCCTCCTATCTTATGAGTAAGAGCACTCATCCTGCCATCGATCTGACGTCTCGCCGGATTTGAGTTCGCAGCCTCCTCCTTCTCAAATATATCGTCCATCTCCGAGCTCTAATTTTAAGAGTTTTCCTTTTATTGTTGCCTTTTGTTTCTGCATAAGAGGTCCTCCAATATTTGCTTATCAGACAAATATTATAGAGACACTGCCTTACCCATCGTATAGTTGGGTGGATTTTTAGGTTTTTATGTCCCGTTTTCCAATGCATTGGTTTTATGGTCACACACCATATGGATATCAACAGCTGCACATATTTCCCACATAGTTACCAAATTTTACATTCAAACGAAAATTACCTTCGACCTAATTTACGAATCCATCTGGATTGATCGCAAACTAACAAAACTGCTAAACAAACAATTACGTGACCGTAAACAAAATCACATGTACACAACCATATGGATACAAGTCCATCAACATAAACTCCATTCATATGGATACATTCATTTTATACATCATCTATATGGATACATTTGATAATAATCTCTGAACTCTGTAACGTAGGTACACTACAAATATTTATGTTTTAATACTGTATGTAACATCGGAAAAATAGGAAGTGGTTAAAATCTTGTTATAGATCACATATACAGTCTACAATATACCCCAAAAAATATTACCTGAATCAATCGTTAAAAATCCGTTACAACTAATACGGGGTTGGTGTTACCAAAAAAATTACTCACCAT